ATTGTTTGAACTGTGCAAATGAACATATAGACAAGCCTGAGGCATTTTGGAAACAAGTTCTGTGGTTAAAATTGAACTTTTTGGCCGGAATGAGCAAAGGTACAATTGGAGAAGAAGGGGCACAGAATTTAATGAAAAGAACCTCTGTCCAACTGTTAAGGATGGGGTTGGATCAATCATGCTTTGGGGTTGTGTTGCAGCCAGTGGCACAGGGAACATCTCACGAGTAGAAGCAAAAATGGATTCAATAAAATTTCAGCAAATTTTGGATGGTAACTTGATGCCATCTGTGAAAAAGCTGAAGTTAAAGAGAGGATGGCTTCTACAAATGGATAATGATCCTAAACACACCTCGAAATCCACAGGGGATTACATCAAGAGGCGTAAACTGAAGGTTTTGCCATGGCCTTCACAATCTCCTGACCTCAACATCATTGAAAATCTATGGATAGACCTTAAAAGAGCAGTGCGTGACAGACAGCCCTGAAATCTCAAAGAGCTGGAAGACTTTTGTAAGGAAGAATGGGCAAAGATACCTCAAACAAGAATTGAAAGACTCTTGGCTGGCTACAAAAAGCGTTTACAAGCTGTGATACTTGCCAAAGGGGGCAGTACAAGATATTAACTCTGCAGGGTGCCCAAACTTTTACAGCCGCCATTTTTTTGTTTTCTGTTATTTTGAAAGTGTAAATGATGGAAATAAAATCTAACTTTTGTTGACATGTTATAAGAATGTCTAATCTGTAATTTGATGCCTTTTGGAGATTTTTCCATCTTTCCTTGGCTTCTTTATGCACATTAATACAAATTTTTAGCTGGGGTGCCCAAACTTTCGATCCCCACTGTAGGTTTCGTGCTGCCCTAGGCAACACAAAAATTGCCCCCCCCCCCCTTCCCCAGAGACCCTGACACCGACCAACACTCCCCTCTCCCACGAAGTGTGCCTGACATTGTCCAACAACACCCCAGCCCCTCCCCCACAGGAGAAGACCGCCTTCCACTACCACCGTCCTCCATACACTGGCAACCTCCCCCACCCCGACGAGAGAGAAGACACTCACCTTCACAGCTCTGGACACCCCCGGGAACAAGGCTCAGGCTCTGCATACACCATCAAGCAGCCCACAGCCTCTCTCAGATCCCACCTGGTCCCCATGATGTGTGTGTCTCTTCTTCCATCCCTACTTTAGGGGGGCAGCTCTGCCACCTTGAAAGATGCCGCTGCCCCCCTGAAAGATGGCGCCCTAGGCAAATGCCTTGTTTGCCTTGTGGTAAATACGCCCCTGACCTCATCCTATTATAGAGAGGGGGCTGGCTCATCCAAAAGCCCCTTATCAGCCTTGTCAGCAGGATGACTTGAGTCCAAAAGTCAAGAAGAGCATTATGACTACAAAGACTTTTGTCTGGCATCTCCTGCACTAATTAGGATTGTGCTATTCCCGATGTCTGATTGTTCAACTGGAATCTCATTAAAGCAGAACTTTACCCATAACAACTTGATACAAAATAAAGTCCTTTAGCAAGGAATATGCATTCCACATTTAAAGTGGGAGTAAACTCCCTTTTTTTTCTTTGTGCATACAGGTAAGCCTATAATAATACTTACATATTGTAGGAGTGGGAGATGGGGGGAAAGTGGCTCTCCCCGACCTTGTAACCACGGTTTTACTGGTACACACCCCTAAGGAAAATATGTTGAAAAAAACCCTAACCAGAAAAACTAATGGGGCTTTAAAGGTACCAACCCCCCCCCCCCATCCTCCCCATCACTACTAACAACACCACCATCTCTCCCACCCCACACGCCAAAGTCCTGGGTGTCACCCTGGACTCCCACCTCTCCTTCCTACCCCACATCCAACTGCTATCTAGATCTTGCAGGCTTCACCTCCACAACATCTCCAAGATACGCACATTCCTCACCCCAGACACCACCAAACAACTCGTACATTCCCTCATCATCTCACGCCTGGACTACTGCAACTCCCCTTCTCACTGGCCTACCCAAACAAACGCTATCCCCCACTCCAGTCTATCCTGTACTCAGCGGCCAGACTCATCCACCTCACCAACCGCTCCACATCTGCCTCCCCCCTCTGCCAATCCCTTCATTGGCTCCCGATTGCCCAACTCATCAAGTTCAAGCTGCTAACCCTGACCTACAAGCCACTCACAATGCCGCCCCGAACTACATAACTGACCTGATACCCAGATACTACCCTACCCGTGCCCTCCACTCCTCACAGGACCTCCTGCTCTCTAGCTCCCTGGTCTCCTCCTCCCACGCCCGATTGCAGGACTTCTCTAGGACCTCCCCCATCCTCTGGAACTCCCTACCCCAATCCATCAGAATGTCACCTACCCTCCTCACCTTCAGACGCACCCTGAAAACCCTCCTCTTCAGGGAAGCCTACCCCAACCTCACTTAACACCCGACCTCACCTAAAAATTAACCTCCTCCACTCCACCCACCACTCCATCCCCCACAGCCATCTCCTCCTGTGCCACCTCCCCCTCCCTCCTAGATTGCAAGCTCGAAAGAGCAGGGCCCTCGAACCCCTCGTGTAGTGTATTATTACTGTTTGTGTCATGTCATGTCCCCTTTGCTACTGTACAGCACTGAGCATACCCTTTGGCGCTATATAAATACTGTGTAATAATAATAATAAAAAAAAATAATAAAGGTCAAATGAACAAATATAGGAACAGGAGATAAAATTGAACACCTTTTATTAGGTTAAAAGCCACCCATAGGTGGAGCATATTCATCAGACATAGAGAACCATAAAAATAAATTACAGAAAGTGAGACCCGGCCACAGTAAATTGTTGCTGATGTCCTAGACGCAGACGGCGTAATGGGTATCAGCCTAAAAAAAACAGCAGCCATAGCCTTAGAGCAAATAGGCTAAACTGTACACGTTGTGGATAAGATGGTACATGGCTATCAATGGAAACAGATAATTGTATTATATAGTTGAGATATATATATATATATATATATATATATATATATATATATATATGTTGATATAGGACACCTAACCAGATAGTATCATAGGTGTTGATGAACGAATAGACATGTAGTTTCCACTTGAAACCATGAAAAGGTACTTTGTTTTTGGAATTCCAACACGTTTCATGGGACAGAGCCCACTTCTTCAGGGAACAAACCAAGACATAAATTCCAGTTGATGATACCAGCACAATCTTAGATAGCTCCTGCAAGATATGGGTCAATCGTATCTGGATGGACAGAGGGGGGCCTCCAACAACCATAAATAATGATCATCGATCAAGAAAGAATCCAAGTCCACTGGAAGACTTGTAAAGACAGTTGTCATTCATTCAGAGACCTATTGGCCAAATGCTACAGACCACCAAGTATAGTAGGGCTCAGATTACTTTCCATCAGTGGAGAAAGGTTTCTTATCCAAGGAGGAGGCTTACCTGTAGGTACCATAAATATCTTCTAAACGTGCATTGTTGTGGAGAAATTTACCTGTGTAGTCATCGGTGACGTCACTGCACTGTGCTGTAAACAGTGACTTCTGTGTGCATGCGCGGGTATGACATCATTGCGGCTTGCCCATTCAAGCAGCGAACTTGAGAGAAGACCGGGTGAAAGATGGATTCCCTTGCTGGAAGGATCTGTTGCACAGATGAGTCTGTCAAACCATGCTAGTATGTGGTGCATACTAATACATTATGACTTTACCCTGTGGAGGGACCATTTTTTTGTTTTTCAGCAGCAGTTTACTACTTCCTTAAGTGGTTGGGTTTATATCAATATGCTTGCGTTCTTTGGATTGCAGTGTTGGGGGACATTTTCTTATGTGTCCTGCCTCTGTGCACAGATCTGTACAACCAAAAACATTTTTAAGGACCAATAGCTGTCTGCAACATCCGACTGATTGATAACTCTTCAATTGTCAATACCTCATCTACTGTTTTTCTATTAATTGAGGTCTTTTCCCTCACATGACATGTACAGCAGGGCGGTCCAGTACCTCAAGTGCCTACAGGTCACCTTCAGCCAATGGTACATCCTTCACACCCACCAATCCATAGATATGATGACTTGAAAGCTTTTTAGCTGTAGTCTTGCCCTCCCTGCCATGGTTTGTTTGATCAGGGCAGCCTTGCCAGGAAAAAGTAAAAATAATGTAAAATTATAAAATTTATTCTTTAACACCTTGCCTACAGGGCACTTCTACCCCCTTCCTGCCTACAGGGCACTTCTACCCCCTTCCTGCCTACCGGGCACTTCTACCCCCTTCCTGCCTACAGGGCACTTGTACCCCCTTCCTGCCTACCGGGCACTTCTACCCCCTTCCTGCCTACCGGGCACTTCTACCCCCTTCCTGCCTACAGGGCACTTCTACCCCCTTCCTGCCTACCGGGCACTTCTACCCCCTTCCTGCCTACAGGGCACTTGTACCCCCTTCCTGCCTACCGGGCACTTCTACCCCCTTCCTGCCTACCGGGCACTTCTACCCCCTTCCTGCCTACAGGGCCTTGTACCCCCTCCCTGCCTACCGGGCACTTCTACCCCCTTCCTGCCTACCGGGCACTTCTACCCCCTTCCTGCCTACAGGGCACTTCTACCCCCTTCCTGCCCACCGGGCACTTCTACCCCCTTCCTGCCCACCAGGCACTTCTACCACCTTCCTGCCTACAGGGCACTTCTACCCCCTTCCTGCCTACAGGGCACTCATACCCCCTTCCTGCCTACAGGGCACTCATACCCCCTTCCTGCCTACCGGGCACTGCTACCCCCTCTTCCTGCCTACAGGGCACTTCTACCCCCTTCCTGCCTACAGGGCACTTCTACCCCCTTCCTGCCTACAGGGCACTTCTACCCCCTTCCTGCCTACAAGGCAAATACCACCAAAAGCTTTCTTTTGGTGGTATTTAATCACCTCGGGGTTTTTTTTATTTTTTTCTTAAACAAACCAGAAACACTGAAAATTTTGAAAAAAATATTTTTCTTAGTTTTTGTTATAAAATTTTGTAAATAAGTCATTTTTCTCCTTCACTGATGTGCGCTAATGAGGCTGCAGTGGTGGGCACTGATAGGCTGCACTGATGGACACTGATAGATGGCACTGATGGGCTCTGAGGAGGAGGCACTGGTAGGTAGCACTGATGGGCACTGAAAGGCAGCACTCATATATGGCACTGATACATGGCACTGATAGGCAGCACTGATAGGCGGCACTGACTGGCACTGATAGGCAGCACTGATAGGCGGCACTGACTGGCATTGAAAGGCAGCACTGACAAGCATTGATAGGCGGCACTGATGCGCACACTGATGATAGGCGGTACTGACTGGCACTGATAGGTGGCACTGATTGGCGGCATTGATATGTGGCACTGACTAGCACTGATGGGTGACACTGAAAGGCAGCTCAGATGGGCACTGATATGTGGCATTGATGTGCACTGATGGGCACTGGCACGAGGCACTGATGAGCACTAACACAAGGCACTGATGGACTCTGACAGGTGGCACTTCTGGGGCTACACTGACATCAGGGCACACTGATCATCAGTGCCTTGATGATCAGTGTAGATGTCCCCTCCGCAGAAAGCTGATTACCGGCTCTCCTCTCCTCTGTCAGCGTGACAGCTCGAGAGGACAGAAATGCCGATAACCGGCATTTCCCTGTTTACATGAGATCAGCTGTGATTGGACACAGCTGATCACATGACCGAGCCGGCATCTTCGGCTCTTTCCGTGATCGGTGATCCGCTGTGACCGAGGGACACAGCGCACTGCAGATCGCTGCACTGCGCGCTCCCTGAGCCACGCATGCACACTGACAATGAGAGGACGTCCTATGACGTCCTATCAGAACGAGAGAACCGCCTTGCACCCGTCATTGGACTATATGGGGGGCGGGAGGTGGTTAAAATGTAAAAAAAAAAAAAAACCATAACAAAACAGTTATGGTGGGAAATGACTGGGTCTGGACCACAGTTTGGCTCTCACTAGTATCAAAGACCAAGGTTCTGCCTTTTGCGGGGTCTCTGGTGAAGATCTGGTCTCTGTAGACTCTGTTCCTCAGTCCTTTTAAGGTCTCCCACTCTCTCCAATGTACAGATAACACAGAGGGTCCAATATTCACTTCATTCATGGAAACCTGGTTCTCTCTGGCCTTCAGAAATGGTCTTTGTAACCCATTAGAGACACCCCTCTCTCTACTCTCCCCTAGGTGATATTTTTGTTACTGCATTGCTTCCCTTTCTTCTGGCTCTTGTTTCAGGAGGGGGGATTTTGGTGTTCGTGTTTCTTTTCAGGTCTATTGATTATTAATTGGTGTTGATAGGGCCTCTCTTTTTGCTAAACTGATTTTTTTTTTTTGCAGCAGGGCTTCTCTATAGAAATTGATCTTTTGTTTCCTGTGTGACTGCATTTGTCTATGTGGATAATTTTTATATATAAGTGCTGTTTGACCAACATTGAAGAGGTCAGACTTATAAGGGAGAGTGGATGACGGATGGGGGGTTTAATGAAGAGTGTTTGGAGAACACAAAGGTGTGAGCTTCTTCCATGTCACTGAGGAGGAGATTTATTGCACTTAGTATAGCGGAGGTCTTGATTTTCACACGTTGCACATGATTATTTAAGGGAACTTCATCATTTTGCGCATTCTTTGGCACTTTTGTTGCGGGGTGAGTTTTTGTATGTTAAATTATTGGAGATCTGAATATTCCTCTTATACTGTTTGGCACTTTATTATTTGCACATAAAATGTAGGAGGATTAAATAGCCCTTATAAAAGGTCAGTGCTATAAAAGGCAATATATTTTATGAAGGGAGATATTCTTTTTGTGTAGGAACCCAACTTTGCCTCTTATAAACACCCCTACCTGAAAATGAAATGCTTTCCCCATGTCTCTATGGCTAATGCCACCAAAAAAAAAAAAAATCAGGAGTCCTCAAAGCAATTAAATAGACAGTATCCTTCAAACATACTTGAGATATTGAAGATGTCCTTGGTTGATATATTATTCTCATAATTTTCATACAAAATCACCAATGTAATCTACACATTGATGAATACTACTTATGTCCAAACACTAAGCATATCTTCCTTTTGACATTACTCAAATCTATTAATGAAATTTAAACAAGGAAGACTACTCATGGGTGATGACTTTAACACTATTGGAGATCCGACTATGTACTCATCCCCTAGAAATAGGTCGCTGTCCCTATCCCTGAATAAATTCCTACATAGACATAACCTACTGTATATGATATCTGGCATTGCAGCTATAGCTCGAAAAAAACAGTATACCATTTTCTCACCAGTTCATGATTCCTAATCCAGAATACATCTTTTCATACCTGACATACACTATATATATCAGTAAAATATATAGGTGCAGCGCTTAATAAGTAAATATATAGTAAATGAATATCCAATATAAATGGCAAATTATATATAAAATAGTCCGATATTATCAAAATACATAAATTCAGATGATAAATCCAAATGGTAGTAAAATCAACAGCAGATAGACTTGTGACACCAACCGATAGTTAAAGTGCGCACTCACCGGAAGCGCATAGGTAATTTTACTACCCTTTGGATTTATCACCTAAACTTATTTATTTTGATAATATTGGACTATTTTATATATCATTTGCCATTTATATTGGATATTCATTTACTATATATTTACTTATTAAGCGCTGCACCTATATTTTTACTGATTCATGTGAAGGTTTATCTTGGTACCTTTTGGTGTTATAGCAGCTATTATAAGGAGCACTCTCTATTTATACTACAATACACTATATATAATATATAATAATACAACTAACCGCTGAGCATGGACTATTTAGTAGCCAGGAAATAGTGTATATACACACTATATTGCCAAAAGCGTTGGGCCGCCTGCCTTTCCACGCACATGAACTTTAATGGCATCCCAGTCTTAGTCCATAGGGTTGAATATTGAGTTGGCCCCACCCTTTGCACACACATGACCTTTAATGGCCCCCCAGTCTTAGTCCGTAGGGTTCAATATTGAGTTGGCCCCACCTTTTGCAGCTATAACAGCTTCAACTCTTCTGGGAAGGCCGTCCACAAGGTTTAGGAGGGTGTCTATGGGAAGGTTGGACCATTCTTCCAGAAGCACATTTGTCAGGTCAGGCACTGATGTCGGGGGAGGAGGGCCTGGCTCACAGTCTCCACTCTAATTCATCCCAAAGGTGTTCTATGGGGTTGAGGTCAGGACTCTGTGCAGGCCAGTCAAGTTATTGACTCTGCAGACAGTTGGTGACTTCTGCGCACTGTGCGCTTCAGCATGCGCTGACCCCGCCCTGTCATGTGACGTGGCCTACCACTTGGTGGCTGAGTGGCTGTTGTTCCCAGTTGCTTCCACTTTGTTATAATCCCACTAACAGCTGAGCGTGGAATATTTAGTAGCCAGGAAATGTCACGGATGGACTTATTGCACAGGTGGCAACCGATCACGGGACCACGCTTGGAGTCACTGAGCTCCTGAGAGCGACCCATTCTTTCACCAATGTTTGTAGAAGCAGTCTGCATGCCTAGGGGCTTGATTGTATACACCTGTGTCCATGGAGGTGATTAGAACACCTGAATCACATGATTTGGAGGGTTGGACCAATACTTTTGGCAATATAGTTATATATATCACTTCCTTTGAGTGATTTTATGGTCATACCACACTTACATTATTATTATACATTATTTATACAGCGCCAAAAGGTTTGCTCAGCGCTGTACATTATAGTGGGGGACAGTACATGAGACAATACAATACTAAGACAAAACACGAGGGGTTCGAGGGCCCTACTCTTTCGAGCTTACAATCTAGGAGGGAGGGGATAGTGGTACAGGAGGAAGTGGCTGGGGGGGGGATGGAGTGGTAGGAGAAGTGGAGGAGATCAGCTGTTAGGTGAGGGTGGGGTAGGCTTCCCTGAAGAGATGGGTTTTCAGGGTGTGCCTAAAGGTGAGGAGGGAAGGTGACAGTCTGATGGATTGGGGTAGTGACTTCCAGAGGATGGGGGAAGTCCTAGAGAAGTCCTGCAGTCGGGCGTGGGAGGTGGAGACCAGGGAGCTAGAAAGTAGGAGGTCTTACATCACAATTGAATTTAAGGATCAGCACCCAAAATCTGCATCCTGTTTATGGAGACTTAACAACTCCCTCCTCACAAACCCGTCCATCGCCCAACAGATTGTTGAACCTCATCATCAATTCTTTGAGCTCAATGATTCACCTGATGTGGGCCGCTTTATACTCTGGAATATACTTGGTGTATTGATTACACTTAGCTCCAATGTAAAGACTTGTCAAACTGATATTTGAAACCGGATTAGTATCAAAGAGGAACAAAACAAATCCAACCCTACTGCTCAAATATCCTCATGCATTAGAGAAGATAGAAACCTACTGAGAAACCTACTATTGTATCAATATGAAATCAATCAGAAACACACCAAGGCTAACATCTATGGTCTTAGTGATAAAGCAGGCACCATGCTAGCTAGAAAAATAAAAAACCCAACAAACGAAATAAAGGATATCAGCTGTACAACTTCCCACCACTGGTGAATAAAATCTAGTAGATCTTCAAGATATTGTTAATTCCTTTAAAAACTACTACCAATCATTGTATGAAATATAAAGTGATCCACAGACTTTACAAGGAACTATCCCTATTAACAACTTGAGGAATTATCTCCACCATTTACAACACAGGAAATCCAATCTATTATTAGATCAATACCAAACCATAAGTCTATGGGCTGCGATGGTTCCTCAAATGAGCATTACAAACCTTTTATTGATTTAGTCTCACCTCATTGTAATCTGTTCACTATTCTTGTGACAATGTTAATAGTTTACATTTCCCATCACTTTCTGTACAAAGGTCACTAGGACCAGTGGTCAGGAGTGACCAGGACCAACCGTGAGGGTAAATCTCCCCAGAGGTGGCAACAAAATCAGGCAAAGATGCTAAAGCTGGCCATTTGCACTGTTGTTCAGCCTTTCATTCAGGTACTCTAACAGATTCCTCCATCCATGTTAAAAAGCACAGTGTGCTAAATGCTTAGCACTTCCACTTAGCAGTACTACAGTTGCTGGTTCAAATCCCAACCCTGGCACCACCTGCCTGGAGTTTGCATGTTCTCCCTGTGACTGTGTGGGTTTCTTCCCACACTCCAAAGACATGCTGGTAGGTGAATTGGCTCCTGTCTAAATTGTCCCTAGTATGTATATGTATGAATGTGAGTTAGGGACCTTAGATTGTATGCCCCTTGAGGGTTAGGACTGATGTGAATGTACAATATATGTGTGTAAATTGACGGTGCTATATAAGTACCTGAAATAAAATAAAAATATTCTGGCCACATCCTATGGTTCTTTCCTTAAAGCGTTCTGTTACAAGCTGATATTGTTACTGTTCCCAAACCATACAAAGATCCTTCCTTCACCAACAACCACAGGCCCATCTCCTTACTCAACACCAATATTAAAAGTCCTAGCA